TGTGTCATCACAATTAAGCCAAATTCACCACTGACCTTTCACAGGGAGGATGCTCTTGATAAATGTAGATCATTACTGAGTTCTGACATAAAAACATAATGGCATTCTGTGTCTCTTGGCAGGCTGATCAATATTTTATCTGCCAAAGCATGCAGAAGTGCTAAACGGAATGAATTGAGTCACTGCTGCAAAACAGAGCAAGAAGCAGCATTGCTTGGAGTAAGCAGAGCATGGAAATTCGACAGTTATTTGCCACATTTTAACAATCAGACCTTCCTATGCTGGGTTTTTCTTTAACTCTTCCTCTGTCTTACTGTTTTTCTTCCCCTATGTTTTTGTTTGTTTTTGTTTGTTCTTTTTTCAAACAATTCCAGGCTTCACAGGGTTTGAAATTGCTCTAAACTGGTAAGAAGGGCTTGTTTCTTTAGAGATCTTCCCCAGTATGAAGAGGGAAATAATGGACTAGAAGGGAAGAATCAGTTTAGGGCACAACAAAATAGCAGTTTTAGCTCATCCAGAATTTGTGTAGGTGTCTCTCTGTGTGTTGGTTCCCCAGCTGTGTGGTGGGGATAGTGTCTTGAGTACACACAGGGTCAGCTGGCAGTGCCACACAGGCACCTGGAATACATATGTGGTGGCATTTATGATGCTTAGAAACAGGGAAGGGAAGAAATGGTTCAAAACTCATCTCTGAAGAGCAGTGGAGGGTCAGCTAAAATCATAGAATCAGAAAATCCTGAGTTAAAAGGAACCCACAAGGATCATCAAGTCCAGCTCTTTGCCCTGCACAGAATAACCCCAGAATTCCCACCATATGCCTGAGAGTACTGTCCAAATGCTCCTTGAGTTCTGTCAGGCTTGGTGCTGTGACCATTCCCTGGGGAGCCTGTTCCTGTGTGAGACCACCTTCTGGGGGAAGAACCTTTTCCTAACATGCAACCTAAACCTCCCAGTACAGGTTGCAATTGTGAGCAGAATCCAAGTCCCTTGTAAGCTCTAACAAGGAAACCAAGCTGAGAGACATTAATTAGCAAGACCTACCAAGCAGAGCAGCCTAAGATGAGATAAACTGCTAATGATGAGCTTGTGTTGCAAAGGAAACTGCTGGGGGCGGAGGGAGAGGAGAGTGGGGATAAGTGAGAGGGCAATCAGGCAGCTTTTCTGATATTCTTTTTGCTTAACAGTCATGTTTGTAATACCTGGAAGAACTGAACAAGAGGTGGCAAAAGCCTAGAGAGACAGTATTTAGTAGATAAAGTTGTTAGATCCTTGGCACAGTATAAGAAGATTACAGATGTCAGGACAGCAGGAGAGGGTTAGGAAATACAGTGCTAGGCTGCAGAAGAATCTTGCTGTCTTTGGTATTGGCTTTCCAGTTGTTTTGAGTAGCTTGAATATGTCTCCTCTGTAACTTGGCTGAGCAGGCAGTGTCTTTTCTAGGATGCTCCCAGCATCCATGTCTGGTCACTGAAGTGCCTTAATTTGTTTGAAATAAAAAGCATTAGGTCTGTTTTGTGCAGCAGCACATCATCTCAGATGTCCCAAGCATAGATAACTTCTGAGCCAACACTTTGGTCAGACTTAGTATAACATTATAGTTTCAGGTCAGAGTACTTCAACTGACCTGGAGAAGTTTTCTCTCCTTTCTTCTACTACAGTATGTGTATAAATTATACATATATACTTACATGCATATATATTACAGCTGTAGTGCATTTTTCTATCTATCTTTTAGCTCAGTCAAAGGAGCAAATTATCAGTCTCACACCCTGGGACAGAACTTTATTGCTTTTACTTGTGTGCTGCTAAACAGCTCAGCCCTGCTGGGGTCTGTCCAACTGCTTCTGTGTCACTGCAGCCCTCAGATGTCTGGGATGTCAGGGAAAGCATGCAAAGGCGTGAGACCCATGCAGTCTGTCACATCCACACTGTGGAGAGAGGCTTGGGATCCACTTCCAACAGAGCTGGGAAGTGTGATTTTTTTCCAGAAGGAAGTGAATGAAATGAAATTTTGGGCCAGATTTGACAGAGGCTAGAAGCACCTTCTGCCTGCAGCATGTTAGCAACATGTGAAACTGGACTTATTTTTTTTAAATAAGAGATGTAATTGTCTTACTGCTGGTTTTCTTTGATGTGTTCACCATGGACTGGCCTCACCCTGCTGTGCAGGATGGGGGTCTGCTGGATCCATGACCCTGAACATAGCAACAGTGTGATGGGGAAAAATGTACTATGAGTTTATAGCAGGATTTGGGAATTGCTGCCAGCAGCTGTCACCAGCTCTGTCCTTCTGTGCTCTCCTTTATTTCACTCTTACTGCCCATCACACTTGCCTGGAAGCTGCAGCATGGCTGTTACCCCCTAAAAGGGCACATTTACCCTGGGCTGGCTTACAGCCCAGATCAGCATGTAGGTTTTCAAGAAAAGGAGTTTTGTAGTGGCTTTGTTTTCTGAGCATGGAAAAATCCAAGAGGGTTGTAATTCAGTCAGAGGAGATCACTGTGTCCTGGCTCACACCATGCTTGAGGGAACTGGGGGGTTCAGCCTGAGAAAAGGAGGTGCAGGGGGACTTTCTCACTCTCTATAACTACTCAGCTACTCAAAATTTGTAGCCAAGGGAGAGTCGATCTCTTCTCCCAAGTTGTAAATGACAGGACGAGATGAAATGGCTTCAAGTTGTAGCAGGGCAGGCTTAGATGGAGCATTAAGAAAAAATTCTTCACTGAAAGGATTGACTCCATCCTGCCCAGGATGGTAGTGGAGTCCCCCATCCCTGAAAGTGTGGGGAAAAGGTCCCATGTAAGATGTGACACTTGGGGACATGGGTTAATGCTGGGAAAGCCTTGCCCAGGTAACAGCAAATATCTGCCAAAAGAAGTCTCAGCTGCTGAAAACAAAACTTCTGGAGGGTGTAGAGGAAGAACTGCTGTGGCATCTCCTTGTGGGGAGCACAATGTAAGTGGGTCAGCCACCCCAGGTGTCACCGTGTGCATTGCCTGTAGGTGTGCTGGTGCTCACTAATGGAAACCACTAAGCAGAAGCAGAAGTGGAAGAAAATTAAATCGCTTTCCCTATCGTCATTAGCCCTTGATACATTTCTGGGATTAACTTCTGACTGAAAAAAAAATTCCAGCTCAGAGAAAAAATATTGTTGCAGAAGCTAAAACAGTATTTACAACAGAATAGCTTGATTAAATGGATACAGTAATCATGTTTTCTCTTAAATAAGCTGGTGATTGAATGAAAAAAAAAATTATACTGCCTTCACAAACCATCAAATGACATGGTTGGGAATAAAGAAGTCAAGAATAATAAGCACAACTAATAGTAGCTGAATAGGCTTGTTTTTTCTGTAAAACAAGACTGATCCCCAGTGGGACACAGTGCTTTTTGGAGGTTGTGTAAAGGGAAGGAAAGATTTATCAGCTGCTTAATATCCCTGAGCAGCAAGAAACTCTCCAAACTAGATGGGACTGAGTTCAGGGTAGGAAATAAGCCTTGTCTTGCAGTTCTTGTTCATGTAGCAGAAGGGCACTGACCTGACTGGTGAGCACATGTTCAGCCTCTGTGTCCTCTCTCACCTTCTCAAGTCATGATGCTTTTGAAATTGTGAGCACAAAATATGAATGGAGAAAAAAAAAAACCACAACTTGACAGTAGATGGGTTTGCTATCAGAGAAATGCCTCCCACCTGGAATTTTAATTGGGTTTTGGTTGGATTGGAACCAAGAGGTCCAAAATGTTGCAGCTCAGCAAGAAAAGGACAGGAACATTAGTTGTCACTGTGCCAGTTTTCTGTTATTTTTCAGAGGAATAAGGTTTAGAGTCTTTTAGGAGCTGATCTGCAAGGGTATTGTCCCTTAAACTGAGTTGGGACCATGTTCTCTTTGATTTAAAATTAAACCTCAGATTTAATCCAATAGGATCGGTGATGGGATTTAAAAGAAAAGTTTGTTTTAAAACCAGTATTGCAGAGAGTAAGGCTATTTACATTATAGGGAAATTACATTATAGACACAAGGACATCTGAGGGGAACAGCTGAATGTGTTGATGCTGTTGGTGGGGTATGGTTGATACCCACTGTGTGGGACAGCTGAAGCCTGAGGGTGCTCCAGGGTCTGCTCCAAGGCTCCTGCGAGGCACCAGCCGCTGTGCTCTGCACTAACACAAACATATTTGCACAAAAAGACAGTTGCCATTTCTCATTCTGCTGAGTTCTGCCAGACAACAGATGAGCAGAAAAGGGTCATCATATCTTATACCACTTTGGACATGTGGATGCATTTCCTTGAGGAGGAGAAGAGCTGTGGGAGAGCTGGATGCCACAGGCACAGCATGAGCTTTCAGTGTCAGGAGGGTTCAATCTGATTTCTTTAGCCAAGCCAGAGTCACTTCAAGGACAGTGGCTTGAGGATTTCTCCCTGATAATAACCTTTTTTCCCTAGTCAGGGCCAGGACAGTGTTCATTTCAGCCTGCAGCAGAGTGATGGGAGCAGGCACTAGTGACACCACAGCTGCAGGGGAAGCTCCTTACTGTCCTTCCTCTGGCCTTCTACCATCCCAGGCTGCCTCTAAGGATTCCTTAAGTTCAGCCTCATGTTTGACATAGGGTGACTCTCTTAGGTACCATTTACAATAGCGGAACTTTCTAAACATCATCTTCCCGAGGTTTATTTTTCACTATATGGGATAAATTTATTCATACAGAAAAGCACAGAGCCAATTTAATATTTGTGGGAGTTACAAAACTGAGTGTGGAAGTCTGTAACTGAAAGCCCTATAAAATCTGGAAGGTAACATACTGGGGAGTATCCCTGACAGCAGGATTTAGAAAATCTGCCAGCTATTACAAGAGGTAACAGCTTTTACTCATCAAGTGCAGAGCTGAGTGGAGCTGAATGTGTAGACATATGTGCCTAATTTTTCCCTTAAGGACCTCAGTCCTTTAAAAAGATCAAGGTAAGTGCACATGGTCCAGTAATGCTGTCTTATCTCTCAGGTGACACCTGTACAATGGCATACTACAGCCAGCTCAAGAGCATCCTGCTGGACCTGCAGGCTCGCCGGCAGAGCCCACCCAGCAGCCTGGCCAAGGACAGAGTAGCCCAGAAGCGCTTCCTAACTGAAGAGCTGTTTAAGCACTTGGATCTGAACAGTGATGGGCATCTCAGCAGCTCTGAACTGGCTCAGGTGGGTTTATTGTTCAGCGAAGATGGCATTATGAAGTGGATTTTCATTCGAAGTGTGAATTGAATATAACACAGCAGCACTCGTGTGGGAATGGTCATTTGTACCTGTCCAGTCAGCAGCAGGTAAAGGAGGAAAATCTAACGCAGTCAATGAGACTCTCTCTGCATCTCCTAGGAGTCAGTGTTGTCTCAAGCATTTGAAGCTCATCTCCAGACTAAAAACATGGCAGTTTTCCAGCCCCATCCATACTCCTCAAAATAGGTAATAATCCTTGCTCTACTAACTGACATCTTCTGAAATATTTCCAGTTAGCTGGCTTGGGGACAATTAAATTTAGATTTTTTTTTAGGTGCATTTAAGTTAGGCAGAAATCTCTCAATTCTCTCTGCATTCTGGATTGTGCATTAGTATAGAATAATGTGACAGCAAAGTTAGAATGTTTTTCAACCGGTTTTTTATCCTAAAATTCCTGGGCAGATGCTGAAATGTTGATTAGCAGAAATTGATAAAAAAAGTAAGAGCTTGAAAAAACTGTTATTTCTAATTTCAGGCATGCTGTGCTGTTGGAATTCATCTCAGTGGTAAAGTGAACCAAACAGCCATCCTGGACACTCCATCTGGGTATTCTGTGTCCTCAACTTGCTCTTTGCACATGCAGATCTGGGAAAACAGTCCTGTAAAATGTCTTTTTCATTCCATTATGTCATCCATGAGAAGAATTAGAAGCAAATGCCTTTTAAGAGCCCTTTGGAAGCCAGTCCTATCTGGGACCTATTTCAATTTCCAAAGCTGTTCCTTCATAGAATTATGGAATGGTTTGGGTGGGAAGGGACCTTAAAGCTTATCTCATTCCAGCCCCTGCCATGGGCAGGGACACCTGCCACTAGACCAGGCTGTTCAGAGTAAGTTCACCCTTGAGTGTCTCATCTGCACTTTTACTTCCCAGGGAACACAGAGTGTGTTGCAAGCGCAGTCCTTCTGGCTGAACTCACTCCTCTCCTGCACAGTTTGTGCTACATTTTAGTCCTCAGGCTGTTGACAGGATGCTTGATCCTTTCCACACAATGCTAAGTGTCAGAATAAATTCCCTTACATCTCAGTGCTGTGAATATATGCAATGTTTGCTCTAAAGACAATGATTTTTTCATAAAGACATGGTAGCTGTAAGAAAATACTTTTATCTGAATTCAAAGCCATCTTTTACATAGTGGCATCTAAGTGTGTGTTCTACTCTCCAATTATTTTGCTTTTTTTTACATGAAACTTTTTTACTGGGATTTTAAAACTCATAGAAATAAAGGTTTGGCAGCCTGCAAGCATTTGTTATTGCAAAGAAGCAGAGTGTTTTAAGGTCTGCCTCAAAGTTCCTCTGGGCTTTGTTTGCAGATGTGCCTGGAGCCCAGGTCTCTCTCACAAGTGCAAGCACAGACATTGGCTACTCTTATTTTAATTCTTCTCACTGTTATCAAAATCAGTAAATGTGCCTGAATATCTGGAGCCTACTGCAGTTTGATGGACCAGAATAAGTTCAGCCTCAGTCAGGAGCCCTCTCACCCAACCATTCTCCACACAGTCTGGCCACCAGCAGGACTGAGTTGTCAGTGGGATCACCTCTCAAAAGACAAAATAATGCCTATTAATGCACAATTTGGATAAGCCATGAATGCTTTTAATCCTGAGCTGAGTCGCTCTGGTCCTGGGCCCCTTGGTGGCAGCATGGCTGAGTCCCAGACAGGCTGGGGACACATCTTTGGGGCAGCTCTGGGCTCTCACGGCAGCAGGATTCAAAGTTTATTTCTAGCATGCCAATTCTTTCTTTTTTCTCTTTAACAGGATGATTTTTATGTGCTCTTACAAGAGCGGTTTATCCACCCAGGTTTCAAAGGAAATTTTTTTACGTAATGTGCTTGTGCAATTTTTAATTACCCAGTTTATAGTCTTAGCAGAGCTATTCTTACCTCTTTTTTAGGTAGATTTGTAATTGATTTGCATTAGCTCTCAATTTTGAAGCTCTCTGCAACTTGAAATTTCCCCCAAAGATGGGAATTTCAGTGCTTATGGGCAGAAGGAGCTGAGCTGAATGTGATGCAGTGAGATCTTGTTCCCTCTGACTGCTGGATAAGCTGGTGCTGTGCGTTTGCTTTGTTTTATTTAAAAGAAAAATAGTCCCTTGAGCAGTATAACCTTGTCTGCAAGCAAAAACTCAAGTCAGATAACTTGCACTGCTGCAGTAAAAAGTAATCTTTAAGACCTGGAGGTGGATCTTTAGGCAGCTCATTGCAGAGGGATTCACCCCAAAGGAGAGTCTCTCCAGGGAGGTTGGTCCTTCATGGATGCAGCACCTGTTTGTTTGTTCTCCACAAAGAACTGCTTTGAGCAGAACAGTGGCAGCAGATGGCCCATCCCCTTCTATTTAGAGCTGTTTTGCCTCCTGTCTGCTGATAGACCCTATCCAGTATTTTCCCTCTGGATCCAACAGTGAAATTCCCATGCAGTTTTACAGCCATGGATATATAAGGCTATTTACAATGGTGGTAATTGGAATGTTATTTCCATTTAAATCTTTAATGTATTTTAATGTCAGATTCCTAAGTCTACTACGTGTGTCACAGCTGAAGTGTTTTCCACCGGGTTTTCTTTCCTGATATTAAATCAGGACTAGTAAAAACTTGTCAGTCTTAAGAAAAGTTAGTCAGTTTTCTATAAAAATGGTAGACAGAGGGAAATTTCCATGTTTAGAGGATTGATCTTGGAAGTTATGGTTGATCTCATTTTTAATGAATATTTTTTACTTGCTAGGTGAAGGGTCATTTTTTTAGCATTATTACTTTAAATTGCTTCAATATAATGAATCAAGACTAGAATAGTAAATAAAAGGGTCCCTGGCCTACAGGAAAAAGCTTTCCTGTCTGGAAGATGCAACAATTCAGAGTTTTCTTCATGTTCTACAATAAACTCAGAAAACCCAAATGAAATGTTAAAAAAGCAAAAGAAGCAAGCTGTCAAGGCTTGGAAAAGCTTATCAGTGTTGAGTACACCATCCACTGTTGCCTGTTCTAGTCCTAATATCAGGGAATAAAATTTTGTCCTAACTTACAGAGGAGAAATGAGAAGCAGACTTTCCTTTTTCCCTGTTGAATATTTATTTTTCATTCCGTTTTCAAAATGAAAATGCATTTCTGTGCAGCTGGTAAAGGAAGGAGCTCTTCAGTTCATGGTCCATAAAGTGCTGCAGGAATATTAATATCTTGATAGAAAGCAAATATGTAATGATAGATATGATAATCTATCTGTCTATTTATCTATGTCCCCAAAGGTCATTCTGTGAAAAATCTGCCAGCTGAGCCAGGCCAGCAGTGTGCAGCATTACACTGATGTAAGGTTACCTGTTCTCTTTGCTACAGCTAATGAAGAAGGAGGAGCTGGAAGATGATTTACTGGGTTGTACACTGGAAGACCTTCTCCAGTTTGATGATTACAACAACGACGGCCGCCTGACCCTGCAGGAGCTCTACACAGCCTTCCGTGAGTCCCTGGTTTGGTCTGCCCTGGGTGTTTGGAGCATGTGAATATCTGTGAGAGCACTGTTGTCTTCCTAGGTGTGGTCAGCGAAGATGATCCCTCTTTTGTCTTTAATGCCATGGAAACACTTTGGAAGGTTTGTTTCCAAAGGTGTCTGCTTCACAGCATAAGCATGAAGCAGGAGGTCGGTACAGGTGTGTCAAGTTTATTGTTTTCTTCTGTGTTTTGTTGTGCTTCTTGTTGATGGCAAGGGAGAGATGGTGGCCTGGCCAAGGTCTGTGGACCTCAGGATGTGGTTTGATTAACCCTAAAGAAAGATGGAAACCCGTCCAAAGGTCCTGTGGTAATACAAGTTAGTTTGCTGTGGGGAAGGTGGTTACTGAATATTTTGCCTTGGAATTATGTTTTCTACATTTTGTTTCCATGTTAATGAGTGTATTAATGTGCAATTGTGGTATAAATCTCAGCATCCTGTACAAGGATCTGGGGATCACAGAGCTACTTAAACAGCGGGATATAATAAATACTTGTGTTATCCCATTTATCTTCATGAATTTATGTTCTTGCTTTAATTGAAACATTTGTTGAAGTCCTTCCCTGGAAAAGGCCCACACTGTCTCCTTCATCTGAGCGGTAGAAAGTTGTACTGTTGCCTGTTCCTTTGGAATGCTAAAGAAGAAGGGAAATGGGCAGGGTTATTGAATAATCAGGAGAGTGATCTACAGAGACCTTGAGTGTGGTTAAGACATTGTGGCTAAAACTGAAGAAGGATTCAACCATTGATTCTGTTAAGTGCAGAGAAAGGGCCAATAATAAGGTGGTTACCTCTTAAGCAGGATTATTTCCTAAAGAGGGTGATGTCTGTTTTCTTGATTTACAGCTTTTCATTAAAAAAAAAACAATTTAGATAATAATCACAGAACAGTTTGGGTTGCAAGGGACTTTAAAAATTATCAAGGTCATCTCCCTGCCATGGGCAAGGACACCTGGCACTAGACCAGGTCATTCCAAGCCCCATCCAACCTGGCTTTGAACATTTCCAGGCATGGGGCAGCCACAGCTTCTCTGGGCAAACTCTGCCAGGGCCCCACCACCCTCAAAGGGAAGAATTTCTTCATAAAATACCCAATTTAGAGCCCTGCACTCTGTCAGTTTGAAGCCCTTCCCCCTTATCCTATCATACCATGCCCTTATCAAAAGTCTCTCTTCAGCTCTCCTGTAGTCTGCCTTTAAAGACTGGAAGGTTGTTTAAAGTGCTTTAAGATTAGCCCCAGTTGTCACCATGGACGTGTTTGAACGACACATGCATTTAATTCAACACAGCAGATACACAGTAAAACATAAAATCTCATACATTAAGAAGGCATAAAGTATATTAACCCAGCTATAAAGGCTTGACATGCAGTTATTTGGGAGTATATTTGGATCAATGGGTTCTCAAAGTCACATCAACTCAAACCTAAATTCCAGGAATTATTTCTATGGGTTTTGGTTCAGTGAATTCTAAGTAGGCAATGAAAATAAGACAAGTACAAAATATTAACCAATTAATAGTGATAGTATTGATAAACTGCAAAACTGTTGTAACATAACACAAGGTGTAACAATGACTGTTTGTCAAAGGAATTTTTTATCTGAACAGAATTGCTCACCATCTGAAGCTGAAAACCAGATGACTGCTCCATTTTCAGTTTTTCCAGAATCCCAACTTTTATCAAGCGTGGGTAATGGCTCACCAGCTTTTAATTTAAAACCAAAGTTATTGATTGCAACTTTTGAAATTTTGGGAACCTGGAAGCAAATTTAGTGCCTGGTTAAAGTATATTTTTTCCCTTTACTTTATTAAATGATGTAGGAAAAAAAAATCAAAAATACTTTAAGCACTTAAGGGCACACTTTGGTTTATGAAAAATTTGTTTATAAGATTTCTGCTTTGTTATGAGTCAGAATTTGGCTTGCAGCAGTTATTTAAAGGTACCGCATCCTGCACATTTCCCCTATTTTTTGCCTCTTAGAGAAATCTTTTTGTTGCTTGCTCACCCAAGCCATAAATTGTGCCTGCCACAGGCTGGCAACAAGATAAGGGCAGGACTGCTCAGCAAGCTGAGGAACATAATTACCAGAATTCAGTGACATCAGAAAGTCCCAATCTAATTTATCCTCTCAAAAACTCTGTCACATCTCTTTTGGTGCTCTGTGCTCTGGTGGAGTGTCACAACGTTGGAAAGGTTTGAAAATGACCTTGATAATGTGAGGAACTTCCCAATTTGACATTCGTGTGCTGTGTTAGAAGTTACATTTCATTTTAGAGAGTCTTGTGGCCTTATAACTCACAGAGCCACAAAACGGCCTCTCTCTCTCACCCCAGGTGTGTCTCTTGCTTCCCCTTGACCCATCCTCTCTCTCTAAGATCCTCAGGGACCCAAAGCTTATTTTTCTTCTCCATTATGTTGATCATCTGTAAATAAATGAAAAGTGCATGGATGAGAGAAATCCAGAGTTGTACATTTTCTGAAATGTGGTTTTACCAGTACAAGCTCTACATCTAATAGGTGCTGGTTTTAATCATAACTTTTAGCTATGCTAATAATTTTCCTACACATTTTAATGCACAACTTTGGATTATGTCAAGAAATAGTGGCCTTCCTTCTAAACCTGCCATCTTTCTTCTGATTTTCTAGAAGTTCTTTTGTTCCTTAATCCCAAGAATAGAACTGTTTAGAGTTTTCTTGCATCTATAAGGACGAGTAGAAATATCTGTTAACATAGGATTAAAGTGTCAACTCTTCAAATTGCATTAATCATACACAAGTAGTGCATGGGACAGATGAAACACTCTCCTGGCAGCTCTGGTAAGAACCACTTGTAGGTGTCTTCTAACTCCTCATTAAGAAGTTTTTATTAGATAAGGAGTCTCAGGACCATAATTTTTTTAAAAAATTAATTTTTGATATGATGATCTTGAGATATTTCACATGCCAGAAATAAAGTACTAGAAAGATTATCTGTCTGTTGTCTTTTCTTTAAGTTGTCACAAAGATTCAATGCTTGAGTAATAAATTAAAGGCTTAGTTGTCATAAGAGCTAAAGCAGTGCATGCATCTAATTAATCAGCACAGAAATAGTCTGGTGAGTTGGCAAGCACATCACCCAGCTGAGTCATTTAACTTTTAAGAATGTTCAAGTGGGTGGTTTTTGGATATACCTTCTGGCACTTTATCTGACTGGAGGTCATTAGAATTAGGTATGACACTTTGGACATTCCTGTTGTCTTCTCTAATGGGCAAGTGACAGATTGGCAGATGTGAAAGCCCAACTTAAAAAAAAAAAAAAGTCTGTGTAATCTTCTAGATCTGTATCATCATCATCATCATCATCATCATCATCAATACAGACAGGTCGATTTGTAATACAGATAATTGAGGGTGAGGGAAAAGGTGCATTCCATAAAAATGCCTTCATCCTGTCAACATTGTTTATCTTATAAGTAGTTATTAAGCCAACAATAAAATTCCCTTAAATTCTAAATCATGGCCCATTAAAGTACTTTCCTGATGTCATAGCTGGACCAAACACTGTGCCAGCACCACCACCAGGGAGTGGGAGACGAGAGTGAATTTGAATGAACTGGGTGAAAAAATTAATTGAGAGCCTGGTCTGGGCATGTGTGTCAGGTAAATCATTGCCAATGCAGAAAAGCAGTGTTGGACTGGCTCCAGATTTACTGTAGTGATCCTAAAATCTCCAGGAGTTGTATTCCCCACAGCCATGTGGTGTGGAGAAGGGAACAATCCATTCCTGATTCCTCCACCATTCTCCAGAGGCTCATTAGAAGTGTGGAGTATAAGACAGATATATTTTTGAGTTATGAATGTTTCTGATTCACTAGAAACTACTTTAGGGCAGAGCTTTTAATTGTCCCAAAACTGTGGGCATTGATGCTAACTCGGAAAAAGCAAAGCTCTACATTGAGAAACAGGGAGTGAAACACAAAAAGGGATTTGTGGGGTCAAGTGGGAGAGGAAAATGCTGAGTGAGGAAGAAGCTTTCAGCAGAGTATCTGTTCTTGGTAGATATATCAGCATACCTAACTCTGTGGTCTCATAATAATAAATAAATACTGTTTGAGGAAAACAAACACCCCTATTTGGTATCTCTGTATGGCTGTGTGTGTGTATGCACTCCACATAAGTGTGACAAGCCAGCTGTTCCAGCAGCAATTGCACCTATAAAATCCACGTTCAGATGAAGTGTTTATTCACAAATTCATGAAGCTGTTCTTGATGGCACAGCACCTACAGTCAGGTATTTGTTGCTGTTTCCTTCCAACTGGATTGTTCAAGCCCAGATAATTATATTGGACAAGTATACTGTGAGATAAAATGTTCTGTTTGCAGTGTTTTCTTAAGGAATGTTGTAGCAACAATTATCTACAGAATCAAATCATAGTCCTGAAATATTGACATTTTGTGCCCCATGCTCTGCCTCTCCCGCTGTTGTTTCCCTGGTATGTGATTTTTTCTTTCATGTTGCTTCAAGTATTGGTACAAACTTGGAAATTATTCATTAGCTCACCAGCATTGATTGCTTCTCCTGTGAGCGATGTGATATCCCAACTTCAAACACGGTTGAACAAGCAGGGGAGCGACAGCCTCTGCTTTTGGTTTGATGTGGTGTTAGAGGAGCTACTCAGGAAAGAAATGAGGTTTCCTTTAGTTGGCCAAAGCAGCCCATTCTTGATTGCCTTGAGGAATGGTGTGCAGATGTGTAACTGAGGATGAAGGCAACTCATTGGGCATTTAGTAATAGTAATGTTATTATTGTTACTATTGTTATTGTTATCGTTATTAGTGCATTAATAGTAACTTAATAATACAATCTTATAGCAGAAACAAAACTAAAAATATTAAAAATCAAGGGAAAAAAACAGAAATTGAAAACAATTCAGCTTGATTCCTGCAGGAAGTGCCAAGTGGCTGAACAGAGATGACAGAAAAACCCAA